ACTACTGATTCGTAAAGCACTGGTGTGGAACTTTCAAGCTAAAGAAAAGAGCTTAGAGGGGAAAAGAACACTACACAGGAAAAAATGTGAGTTGAAGACTTGGATGCTGATGAAGCTGCCCTCTTGTCAAGGCTTGGGAGAGAGTTACACTAAGAATTAAAGAAAAGGTGTGGCTATTTCTGTGGGTAATCTTAGTATGAGATTTATTACTGATGTCTTGTAAAAGTCACCTGCTGAGAGATAGAGGATGTGGGGGATTCTGGTAAAAATGAGGCTCTGGGGGGTAATGGTTTCTGAGTTCAATTTCTTATCTTCTGGGGGAAAATCAATAATAATTACTTCTGGTAACTACTAGTAAGTGATGTCTGCTAAGTAATTATCTGTTTACTTCTCTAATGCAAGCATAGGGAACAAAGTAAGTGGGAAAAGGTATTCTCTATACACATGTGGGTGGTTCTGATTAGATACTGGTGGTAAGATATCAGCTGATGTAAGAAGATGGTATTAAATAAGTTGTATCTGAAAGACAATTGGTTATGAAATAAATGTGGCTGACAAATGTGTAGTGTGAAATAAACATGTTGGAAAGGAGAAAATATGAAGTAACTTCTGTTTGTGATAAAATAATATGTAGTGCAAAAAGAAATGAGATAATAAAAGACTGAAATAAATATTCTGAGGTGAGATGAGAAATCTGTGTGGTGAAATATATATGTAGGTGATATAAGCAATGATTAATGAGTTGAAATGAGATGTATGATGAGAATGTAGGTGATATAAGCCATGTGTATTGAGTTTGAAATGGAATGTAAGCATGAAATACTTGTAGTATGAAATAAATGTAGAATAAAATAAATGTAATATGAAATAAATTTACTGTGAAATAATTGTAGTATGAAGAGGATGATGAGTGAGATGAGATGAGATGACAATATCTGGATGAGAAATCAGATGTATGGGATGAAACAGTATATGTAGTCTGAATAAGTGATATCTGGGATGAAATAAATAACATTGACTGAAAGATTATTATCATAGAAAGAAGGTACTGAGGGAAGACTAATTTGTATCTTGAGATGTGTGATATGTAGTATGTTGTAGCTATTTAGTACTATATATTATGTAACCAAACTATGTGTAAAAAATACTATTTTGTAACCTTCAGAACTGGATACAAGATAATGGGTTATGTAGCATATGCATATCTGGTTGTAATAACATGAAAACTACTGTAAATAGCTATTTTGTACTATATATGACCTTGATTGGTCTCCACCACACCGGGCGGTCTCGGGCCATCCACTTCT